ACTATAATAAAAAATACAGATGGTATAAGGTGATATAAGATAAATTAAAAACTTCCTCCCCACCCTCCAATCTTCCAGTGTCACAACTATAAATACAATAGTTTCTTTAAAATACTGAAATTTAAAAAAAGGACACATACGTAATACCCTTTGTAATACTTTAAGCAATACAAAAAAAAAAAAAATACTGAAATTTAACATTCTAACAAGCCATAAGGCTTTGTTTCTTCTCCATTGGTTTGTTTTACATAGTGTAGAGATACATTAAAATATTAAGCCTCACTACTGTTACAGAAAAGGACTGAAATTCTTAATTTTATAATAAAATATAGTTAACACTAGATTGCCAAAAGCCCATTTTCTTTACATTTACTATTCTCATTAATTCCTCATCACACACACACATCCAACCCCTATTGATCACCAAAATTTTATAGTCTTATCTTGCAAGTGTAGCATATATATAATTAAACAGTTGGTAAACATATAAAGATTGAGCACAAAGAAGGCCCACAGGGTACTGCTGTGCAATGTATCTACCAACAGGTTGATTAGGCCAGTTGTTATATTTGACAGCAAGAAAAAAATCAACTGGTTTCTGTTTATAGCTGTGATTAAACAAAGACTGGGTTTCTTTCTTTCAGCTTCAGAGACTAGAGATTCTGAATGCTTTTTATTTGTAGCAGGAGACTGGATAAGTTTCCAAGAACAGGGTACTAGAGCCCCTTGAATTAGAAATTTGGCAAAACTCAAAATTATATCACCCAGTAATAAACTACTAAGAAGGATCAAGCTAGAAGCAACTATCCAAATACAAAAGGCTAAATTGGCCATTCTTCTAGATGCTGCTTCTACATTTACCTGAACTATGTAAAGAGATACAAAGAGACTAATAGCTAACAGTAGAATACAATACGCTACTTTTATCCAGTCTTTGATATGTGATCTTTTTTTAAGCACATATGACCCTGTTTGCACACCAGCCATGTGTATTGCCACATACCCCAAGGTAGACATTATTCCTTCTCGGTTGGCATTTAATAAACCAACCCTTGTGCCACTGCCATCAGTGCCATACAAAATTAACTTTTTCAATGGGGTCAAGTCAAGGGCTAGCTGGTATAATACAGTGATGCCAATGGCCACAATCCAGGATTTATTAGGGGGGAAAAAGATCAAAAGCAGTGATGTTACCAATTTCACAACTATTAAGGTAAAGAAAAAGTTCCAATGAACTCCATACTCAGTTAAATGTTCCTGATAGCCTATGGATTTTATAACGATTAATCTTCCTACTCCTAGGAAGACTAATGGCCAAACAGAGTACAATGACTTTGTAAAATGATCAAATCTGGACCCTTCTATACATTTTCTCCTAATCTCTGGACAAACCATTGCAGTTCCAAAAACAAAGCCTCCTACTCCAAAATCCATTGCTCCTGTCCCATAGAGCTCAGTTTTGGCTAATCTTCTGGGGAAAAGCGGGAAGTCCACAGCCAAAATGGCAACAGCAGTAAAGGCACTGTTAATTACACGGAAACAGGAGATGGCTGGAATGTATTCTGATTCTAGACTAATTTTTAAGAATTTTTCAAGTATTTTCTGGACAGGCATTCTGGCATAGCAAGTTCTCCGGCAGTATATTTGATAGAATAGCCCTGCCCCAAAGATAATTACAGTGAGGTGCTCAAGGTATACAAAGGAAGACAAAATGGTCAAAGTGGTCACCATGGGAACTATTAGGAAAACAAAGTCAATGAAGAATCGAGTTCTCCGGGTATGTGAAGACCACAAGTGCTGTGAGAGAATGATCAGGAGCCCTCTGCACAGGATGCAGAGCACAGGCAAGCACAAGCCCTGGGTAATTTCCAGCACGCTGGTTCCATTGTGGTTACTAACAAAAGCTTCCTTCATCTGCTTTTGAGACATTTTTTCTTCTTCCTGTTTTCACAAAGAGCAAAGGAATGCATTTGTGGAAAGCAGTGTTCTTGTGCAATTGGCATATATATGTACCTGACTTACTTTTATCTTAAATTTCAGAGTAGAACCTAGGTCTGTCTTATGACCTCCTCTTCGAAGGATTGTGGGAAGAAGCCTAACACTAATACATGAGGATACGAATGTTACACTAATAGCATGAAATTATTGGTTAAAAAGCTTTAGCTATTTTCAGTATAAGGCAGACTCACAAAAAAGCACATTTGGGATGATAAAAAAAAAAACATCCCACAGTCGGATAGAAATTCCTATTACAAAACTTGGTCTGTCATGAAGATTATGTAATGAAAACTGAGTACACATAACTAATGGCTATAAGTTAGATCAGACAGAGGGGAAGGGCAGGGGCAGAGAAGGCATTCAAGTACACCTGGGAGCTGGGGCCTTGGTTTTTGTTCAGAGCCTCCAGGACACACATCTGAGTCCCCCAGTGGCCTCTTGAGCCCCAGGCTGCTCCTTACATTTACAGGTGCCGAATTTCACGTTAGATATACGTTAGGCAGAATGGAGGCTAAGGGGGGGAGGGCTGTATAGTACAGCACATACTGGGGTTGTTTTATAAAACGCCTCTCGGCCACACATCAATGTCTGAAAAGTGGCACATGCGAACACATTTGTTGGTCCAACAAGAACGATGTAGAATAAATGAATTCATGACGGGCTAAGCCGGTAACAAACCGATCGGCTGGCTTAAAACTACAAGTCCTTTTCCACCACCGCATCGGGCCCGTATACCTCCCGTGCTCGGTGCTCCGGTTGGTCTCGGTGCTCCCGGGACCGAGGCTGTCTACGTGGGTCAGGCCGCCCGCTTCCCTCAGCCCCGAGGGGGCAACGCGGCGGAACGGGCAGCTTCCGCCTCCCGAGCCGCGCTTCCGGCCGGCCGGGTTGGGGGAGATTGCGCTTCCGGGCCGGCGAATTCCGCGCGTATCCGGTCCTGGGTGGTGCTGGTTTCTTCGCCAGCTCCAGCATGGGGTGCCCGGCCAAGGGGTGCCCGGGCCGTGGCCGTAGCCGGCCCGCCCGAGGAGCCGGAGCGGAAAAGGCGCACCGGGCGCCACACAACCGCTCAGACCGCGGCGAGGCCGGTTAGGGTGATCGGTCGCAGGCCCCGGCGAACATTGGGCCGTGGCGGCCCCTCCCAGCCCGGCGAGGGCCCCGAGACCAGGACGCCCTGCCTCCCGCGCCGCTCCCGCCAGGACCCGAGCCTCCCCTTCACTCCAGTCATACCCAGACTCTCAAAACGTCCTGTCCCAGGAGGAGCCCCCAGCTCCGGGTCCCCGCATCGCGATCAGGCCACGTGCGCCCCGCGCCGCGTGTGCGCGCCCCGCCCCCGGGGGAGGAGCCAGCCGCCGGCCGGCCACTTAGCAGAGCGGCTGCGGCGGGTGCAAGCCCGCGGTCTCGGCTTTCTCTCGGGTTCGCCCCCGCCCCTCCTCTTCCCTCCGCTCCTCGGGCTCTTCCCGCCGCCCCACCCGGCCCGCCCGATTTTCCAGCCGGGCCGGCGGGGCCGCACGCTCAGGCCGTGGGATCGGTGAGTGCCACCCCAGCCCCGGTCTGAAGCCCTTCCGTGACCCCCAAGGGGCGGGGAGGCCGGTTTGCCCCCGGAGCGCTGAGGCAGGAGTGGACATCTCCCCTTTCCAAAGCGCCTTTTCCCTGCCCTTTCCCTTTCCCTTTTGACCCTCTCGTACCCCAAGGGAAGGTAGCCTGGATCCTGCCCTTACCAGGAACTTCTGTGAACAAGGACCTCTCATGGTCACCTTCCACCTTGCCAGCAGCGGGCGACCCTCAGTCGGAGGTGGGGGGAGGTCCCGGTCGGCAGGGTGGGTCCCCGCCCCTGCTCCTCTCCAGAGGGACCTGGGAGGGGGCGCTGGCCCCGGGAGGCGTCGGGGCAGCCGCGCCCTTGGCTGGGGTCACGTCCACCTTCCCGGGAAGGACATACTCTGCCCGTGCCAGGTGCTTAAGGAGCGGCATCCCAGCCTGGGCCCGGCGGGCCCTTTGCCAGGATCGGGAGCCCCCGGTTCCCGCCGGGAACCTCAGGCGGGGCTGGCGAGGCTACCAGGACCCTCACCCGGCTTTTCTATTCTGCCCTCCGAGCCGAGGAGAACCTGAGGCTGGGGAGGAGGAGGAGCTGGTGATCAGGTTGCCGCTTGCCTTGCCTTGACTTGGTGTTTCATCTATTCATTACCGGCTCCCTCCTGCCCGCAGTGGTCACACCCTTTCCAGAACTGCTTGGCTGGTAACCACGAAGCCGAGTGGGAGCAAGAGCGGGGCGGACTGGAGAAAACCGCTCTAACCTGACTTAACTCTGGCTGAGAGCTGACACTGCACACAATAACCAACATTTGCAAAGAGCTCTCACGGATTCCACTAGCGGCAGCCCATTGGTCTGGGTGTTAGTATTCCTTTTTGCAAACGACAGGGGTGAGGGGTGGGGCTGCAAATCTGGGTCAGTGTGATGTGGGGGGTGAAGACACTGGGAAACAGAAAAGCCTCCTGCTCTATCCTCTCCACTAGACAGAAATATCCTTTCTTAGCATAGCCAGTAGTTAGTGGGGTGGGAGGCTAAAGTCAACCAGATACTCCAGGAAGAGAAATCAGAGCTCAGTCATTCACTGGTAAGTCACATCACCTTCCTGGTCCACTCTGATTCCTCATCTTGCAAATGGAGATAGTAAAATCTACCTGGCAAGGAGTGGTTGTGGAGGTTGCAAATGAGGATATAAAGCTTAGAGAGCTCTAGTGATATGCATCTGAAGGGCTTTGGGTTCTAACCCACAACCTCTCGTGCTCCGCCTCTGGTCCTCTAAGATGAACTTCCAGTCGAGGGAGTTTTGTTCTCCTTGAGTTTCTGGAGCCTCTGCATAGCTGTCCTTTGGATGGGATACAGTCAGTGTCCAGGGTGAATGTAGAATGTGTCTAACAGGCCAGATGCTCTTCTCTGCCTGAATGTTCCCATGGAAGTCCCTATTCCTGTTCTTTCAAAGGCTAGATGTTTTCAGAACCTTAAGAAAGTCTCCACCCAATTAAAAAAACAAGAAAGAAAAAAAAAGAAAGTCTCCCCTCCTGGCCAGGGTGGCTCAGTAATTGAGCATCAACCTATGAACCAAGAAGTCACGGTTCAATTCCTGGTCAGGGCACATGCCCGGGTTGGGCTGTGGGCTCCATCCCCATTGTGGCACATGCAGGAGGCAGCCAATCAATGATTCTCTCATCATTGATGTTTCTATCGCTCTCTCCCTCTCCCTTTCCCTTCCTCTCCGAAATCAATTTAAAAAAAAATTTTTTTTTTTCTTAAAAAAAGAAACTCTCCCCCAAGGTTAATCCATTTCAGACACCCCTCATCATGCTTTGCTGGGGCAGTGTGCGGCCTGGGAAATTCTGAGTCTGAGGGTCACTTACAGTTTTACAGAAATTGGCCTAAGCCCAACTCACAACACCCCTCTCAGATGGGCTCCCATCCTCTGAAATTCTCATTTTGAAGTTGACACTGGAATATTCCACCTGATTAGTGCCCCCAAATATTGCTAATTGTTTCCCCTCTGAGTGCATATTCAGATTTGTGTTTTGTGGGTTGCTTTCAATCCATGACCTCATTGACCTTCACAGCCACTCCTTGTGAGGTAGATTTTACTATCTCCATTTGCAAGATGAGGAATCAAAGTGGACCAGGAAGGTGATGTGACTTACCAGTGAATGACTGAGCTCTGATTTCTCTTCCTGGAGTATCTGGTTGACTTTAGCCTCCCACCCCACCAACTACTGGCTATGCTAAGAAAGGATATTTCTGTCTAGTAGAGAGGAGAGAGCAGAAGACGTCTCTGTCTGAGTGTCTTCACCCTCCACATCACACTGACCCAGATTTGCAGCCCCACCCCTAACCCTGTAGTAAAACTAGCCCCGGAGGAGCCCAGGGAGCCTCCAGAAGCTCTTGTAAAAGTTTCCCCTGCTCCCTACTTGGCAGGGAACAGAAGAGACTTCCTTTCTGCCCAGGCTCGCTCTGGTTCTCATTTTGGTTCCTCTGCTCAGTGCGGGGAGCGGGAGTGAGTCACCCTAAAGAAGCCTTCACCTGTGTGTGGCCCTTGTCTTCTCTCTCGTGCCATAGGCTCTGGAATGACTCATCTCAGATTCTTCCAGAACTGAGCCCTTTGCTGGACCCATGCCCGAGCCTGTGTCCTCATGACGAGGTGGATTGCACTCCTTGTGCCTGTAACCCAGAACTCTGGCTGACCACACTGAAGCAGGATGCTCCAGCAGGTAAAACCTCCCCCTCAGATAACCCAGGCCCCAAAGCACCTGAAGCACCTTTGCATCTTTTACTTGTCTGAATGTGGTTTCACTACCCTGTCCGGGAAGGAAGAAAACGACCCCTTAAAGGTCTTTTCTCACTTCAGGAAGTTATTCCAGTGCCTTTCACCTGTTGTTAAGTTCTTCCTGATACTTAATTTGAATCTCCCCTGTTGTAGCTGATAGCTCTTTTCCTTGGTGTGGTTAAGGCAGTGGTCCTCAACCTTGGCTGCACATTAGAATCACCTGGAAATCTTTTTAAAATCCTGATTTCTTGGCCTCATCCTCCGGAAATTCTGTTTCTTTGTGCCTATGAACCAGGAGGTCACAGTTCAATTCCTGGTCAGGGCATATGCTCAGGCTGCGGGCTCAATCTCCAATGCGGGGTGTGCTGGAGGCAGCCGATCAATGATTCTCTCTCATTGATGGGCTCACTAGTCTCATGGAAACCCACACAGGTCATATCACAGACCCTTTCCTCCAAAAGCAGATTTCAGCCAGGTTACTGTCCTCTCCCGACCCCATCTTCCCTACATCCCCCAGAGAGGAAAGAGGAGAAATGGGGAGAAGAAACACGTGGGAAATGTTGGCATCATGCATGGGAAAGGGAGAAGGAGGAAGGGCCTGTTCCCTCAACTTCTGAGCCTCTTAAGTAGACCCAGGGCACAGGAAACTAGTTGTGTAATTAACCAGATTAATTAAGCCCCAAGAGGCAGGTGATGAAGGCATGGAGCTACCTCACAACTGATTTTTCATCTCAAATTGAATGGTTTCTTTAACACGTTAAGTGCCATGTCAGTCACCGGTGACTGACGCTATACTTTCCGTCTGGACCCGTCATTCACTGGTGCTGCCAGCATATCGGTGAAATCGGATATCGCGGGCTAAACGGAAAGGAAGACAAAGCAGGCTTGGCGCTTAACGTGTTTTTAAAAAAAGGCCCAAAGCATGGTTTTTTTTCCTTTGTGATACTCCTATAGCAGCCCCACACTGTGACCCCCAACCCTGCCAGGCCCAGTAAGGCTAGTAGCTGGCTAGCCTGGAAGCTGGAGCTCATGGCATAGGAGACAGGATAACATTTATTGATTTATCCAGTATTCACTATGTGCCAAGGACTAAGTGCTCTTTATATTGCTTCTTGTTTTTCTTCCCAATAGCCCTGTGAACAGGCTTTATTTTCTTTTATTTACAAAAAAAAAACCAAAAACCTGTAGCCGTAGCCGGTTTGGCTCAGTTGGTAGAGCGTCGGTCGGCCTGCGGACTGAAAGGTCCCAGGTTCGATTCCGGTCAAGGGCATGTACCTTGGTTGCAGGCACATCCCCAGTGGGAGATGTGCAGGAGGCAGCTGATCGATGTTTCTCTCTCATTGATGTTTCTAACTCTCTATCCCTCTCCCTTCCTCTCTGTAAAAAATCAATAAAATATTTTTAAAACAAAACAAAACCTGTGGCTCAGAGAGGTTAAGTCACTTACCCAGGCTCACTCGCCTAATAAGTGGTAGGACTGAAATTTGAACCCACCAGACTATGATACTGGAAGCCAATTCTCTCTCCGCTGCACAGTCCTACCCCTACACAGCTGCCAGCTGGTCTGAGTCACAGCTCTCCTGGCCCTGTTATACCCTCCAGGTGAATGGCCATAGTTCAGGCCCTGATGCCCACGGTGGGAAAGCCCTCAGAGAAGACCTGCAGGAGTTCCTAGGCCAGGAGGCCCCGCTGCACCTGCTGGATGACCTCACCAAGGTGAACCCTGTGACGCTGGAGACAGGTATGGGCCTCCCTCTCCTCAAGAGTGCCGTCTCCAAGAGCGTGGCATTTGGTGTAGGTATTCAGCACAGCTTCTCCTGGCCAGACAAGGCAGGCAGGACTCCGGACCTGGAGCCAGATACGCTGCTTCAGACCTGCCTGGCAATTGCATCTGGGCTCCCCAACGCCGACTTTGCTCCAGATTTGGCGTTCATCTTAATTAGATCTTGTACCTATTCATCAGGGAGCTGCTGGAATCTAATGGCTCTTGGCTGAGTGCAGAGGGAGTGCTGTTAGGCAGATGTTTGTGTATGCTAGTGTCTACATTTAAGCCAGAGTTTGCTAAAAGTACCTCTGCCTCAGTCCTGAGGTGTTTGCAGGCCCGGTACATGGCAGACACATTCTACACCAATGCTGGCTGCACCCTGGTGGCTCTGAACCCCTTCAAGCCTGTCCCTCAGCTCTACTCGCCAGATCTGATGAAAGAGTACCATGCTGCTCCTCAGCCCCAGGTAAGACTCAGCCACTTCCTGGGCCTCAGGACTCCCCTACCTCCCCTTAGGCCTCCTTGCAGCGTCCCTGTCCTTATCCATCTATGCATCAGCCATGCTGGTGCCACAGCCCTGCCCATCAGGAGCTTGAGGAATTTTGGGCACATGACAGTGGTGCAAAATGAGAGGTAAATACTTGTTTAACTGAGTTTGGATCACAAAATAGGGACATAGGGCAAAGTATTTTTTTTCTTATTTATGAGTTTATTAATAGGAAAGGATTTACAAAGATATGTTTGTGTATTTAACAAACCACTGTTTGGGAAAAAGATAAAATTAATGCGCTAAGGATTACCCTAGAAAATTCAGTGCATGTTCATCTCTACTGAGAGGAATACATTCTTATGGGGGCGGGGGAAGTGCAGGCAGGGAGTAGACTAGCTGGTGTCAAAGTGCATCATGTGTTCAGGGAAAGGCAAGAGCAGACTTGCTGGCAGGAAGGGGCTCTTGGGGAGAGAGGCAGTAGATGAGGTAGGAAGAGGCTGAGATAAATAGGAAGGTTCTGAGTCATCACAGCAGGCAGAGTCCACAGAGCTGCTTCCAGGAGTGGAGGTGGACTGAATGGTGCCCACTGGGGGGAGAATTACCCTGGAAGCTGGGGGAGTTGCGTTGAGGAAGGTGAGACAAGTGGCAGGGAGAACAGTTGAAGACTTTGTAATAGTCCAGGTGAGAAGTGACTGGGGCAGAAGCTGATGGAGAGAGGGACAGCTCTGACACCATCCAGAACTGTGCCTTCTTCAGGAAGCTGTGGGTAAGCAATCATTGTGGGGTGGAATCATGTGAGGTCTGTCCTGAGAGCCCGTATCTCACTGACCATCTGCCTCCTAAGGGCAAAAGCCATGTCATGGTGCCCTCTGCTTTCCCAGTGCCCACCTTCATACCTGGCACATTGAGGACAATTAATGTTTGGTGATGGAAAGGAGAACAGTGGCCTTGGGATGCAAATCAGATGGTTTCACTTACTTGCTGAGTGGCCTTGGGAAGGTTATTTAACCCCTCTGAACCTCAGATTTCTCATCTATAAAAGAGGACTAGCTATCCATCTAACACAGACTTCTTAGCAGTAACTTGAAAGAAAATTCTTTGCAAACTGCAAAGTACAGTAACAAAATAATACAGAACAGAATAAGACTTTTAAGATAAAATGGGATAAAGTATTCAAGGCTAGCTCTGCTTCCAGACTGAGAGAAGATGAGTGGGTAAAGCCACCAGGGGGGTCCCACAGTTGGGCCTAACACTGTTACATCCAGGACATTTTTCTAGAGGAAGCCTCTTGGCACTGCTGTTGGCAGGCTCCCCATCTCAGCCATCATTAGATCAGCATTCCTTGAAGACGCGCATTCCCTCACATGACCTTTCGCTCCTTGATGTTTCAGAAACTGAAGCCCCACATCTTCACTGTGGGTGAACAGACCTACAGGAATGTCAAGAGCCTGATTCAGCCAGTCAACCAGTCCATCGTTGTCAGTGGAGAGAGTGGTGCTGGAAAGGTAGGAGGGCCTCTTTCCCATCCTGTCGACTTCATGACGGGCTGGGTGGGCAGAGAGGGAGGGGGACGTTCCTCGTGGAGCCGTTTGCTGCCTCGTCATTCCCGGACAGGCTGGCTTTACCAGGGAGTCAGTGTGTAGCGGTGGGCAGGAAAGGAAGTCAGGATTCTAGTCCAGGCTCTTCCACCAGCTCTGATGTAACTCTAGGTGAGATACTTTCCTCCTAGGGCCTAGGACCTAGGCCTTCATTTCCTCATCATAGGTCTCTCCCATCTCTGACACCGATGGAAACAAAAGATAGCTATTGGGGATTCCAGCACAGTGGTTCAGAGCACATCAGAAAGATATTTCAATTCTGTAAACCTGTTCTTTCACCTATAAAATGGCAAGGAAAGGAGGACCAACACCCAACTCATGGGACTTCTGTGAGAGTTAAATGAACCAGTGCACATAGACACTGAAGGTAGCTGGGATTACTTATGGGAAAGGGTTTATTGAAGTAGCCCACTTGCATCCTCTGTGTTGTCCATGATGGCAAGGGCAGTGCCTTGGGCCAGAAGCTCCTGGTGAGTCACGTAGCTCCCTGGGGAGCAGAACCACAATAGGTGAGACCGAATGTTGCACAAGAATGGGTGAGGAGTTGCATAGCTGGTCAGAGGAGGCCTCACCCTCCTGGCAAGCCTCATGCAACCACCCCTCCCTTGCCACCAAACTTACCTCCTCAAGGGATTCTTTGGACCATAAACCCCCTCTGTCTACACTCACATATGATGGAACTGCTGAGTACTGAGTACCTGCCAGATTCTAGGCCCTGGGCTCACCGCTGAGGAGTGGCAGGGGGAGGAACAGAGATGCAACTGGCTTTCAGGGAGCTCTTAGTCCACTGGGAAAGATAGACAAGGAAACAGATGAAGGCAGTAAGCTGCAGGGATGAGGACTTGGACTTGGGTGGGGAGGAGATCTTTGACAGTTGTATCAAGGTGGCCAGTGCAATGACAGATGTCCAGCTCCTGGACAAAGCCCACTGTCCCTCTGGGGAGCTGCAGCTGGACCTGGCTGGAGTCTCATGCAGCCAGAGCTCAGTAACCCATTACTGAGCAGCTGCTGTGGTCATGAGCTGGGCCTGGTAGACTTATTTTTAAATAGCATAGTTGCATAGTTCAAAAATCAGGCAATACTGCAAGGCTTACAAAGAAAAACAACAACCCTGCCCCATATTTCTCAACCCCCTGGCTACTTTCACATCTTATAGCAGTGTATCTGGGTGTTTCTATCATGTTTCTAACCAGCATGATATTGTTAGTGACTGATTTTTTCAGTTTTGGACCTAATCTTTTCATTTCCTAATTTGGTGATGATTTAGTCTTATTTCCCTGCCCCCAAACACATATGTAATTTTACCATGATTTCTAATTAAGTTAATAGGCAGTATTTATATTATAACCATGTAATCTATGATTATATTTCCTTGTCTAGTTTTTACTCTCCCTCATATGATTACCCCAGTTTTCTATTTGTTTAGTTTCTACATGCCTATTAAATTATTACCAAACTTATCACCAAAGCTTTTCCGGCTTGTTCAACTGGCAAGTACATCTGGTTCTTTTTTTTTTCTTCGAGGTGCCCTTCCCAGAGCTCTCAGATCTGCTCCCATCTGGCCTGGTGGCTGCCTGGGGCTACTGCCATGCAGCTATTACCTGGGGCTCTCTGCCTCACTCTGGGGGTCAGATTGCTGTGTCCATGATAATCCCCCTTGCTGGAATCCACGGCTTCCCTTCCTCCTCTACTGCTTTGTATTTAGGGAGCACATTCTTTAGTAGCTTCCTGGAAAAGGCAGTAAATGAAGGGCAAATTTTTGAGTTGCACATCTGAAAATGTTTATATTGCCTCAAATTGGATATGTTGGCTGGGTTTTATAATTTCAGGTTAGAAATAATTTTCTTTCCAAATTTAGAAGTTTTTCCTTATATATTGAGTGTTGCTTTTGAAAATCCGAGTCCATAAATTGTGATTTTACTTTCCAAAAGCTGTAGGTATTAAAACTCACAGTGGTATATCTTGGCATGGTCTTTTTTTTTTTTTTTTTTTTTTTTTACTTTCTATGCTGGATACTTTGTGTGGGTCTTTTAACTTGGAAACTCATGTTTTTCGTTTAGGGAAATATTTTTGTAGCATATCTAATAATTTACTCCCCTCCATTTTCTCTTTCTGGAGCTCCTATTAGTATGTTTGATTAATTGTTTAATAGTCTTTTTTTTTCACCTAATCTTCCATCTCTTAACATTTTGTTCTGTCTTCTGGAAGATATCTCCTACTTTATCTTGCCAAAATTTGTTTTCCCTGTTTTTAATAACTTTCAATTATTTTGAATTTTTGTTCAAAATTTTAATTCTAAAAACACTTTCTTGTTCTCTATTATCTCCCCCCCCCCCCCCCAGTATCTTGGTCTTTTCATAGGTTCAATATCTTCTCCTATTGTTGAAAATATTTCATAATTTTTACTTGCATATCTTCTCCTATTGTTGAAAATATTTCCTAATTTTTACTTGCCTTCTGCTCCTTACATTGACTGTTTCCTTCTAGTTCCTTTTCCTTCATTTATTTTTATATTTGTCATTCATGTAAAGGAAGTTTACCAACTAGTTATTGATCCTCACATATCTGTTCATACTTAAGATACAGTAGCCTGCTCAGGTCAGGGTGTGTTGTCCCATCTCTGCCCCAGGCTCCCTTCTTTTTCTGAAATGCATCCTCTGGAGCTAGAAGCAAGCACTCCCCATTTCACAGAGCGGGGGAAGTGCTTTGCCCAAGGACACAGTTGAATTCAGCATTCACCCATTCGGTTAGCACCTTGCTTGGTGGAGGAGATGGTGCTAGTGGGCACCGTTCCCTCAGGCAGGCTCAGAGGTGGGAGGGAACTTGGGCAGGGCTCCCACAGGCTGTTTCTGCCGTAGACATGGACTTCCCGTTGCCTGATGAAGTTCTATGCTGTGGTGGCTGCCTCACCTACATCCTGGGAGAGCCACAAGATTGCAGAGAGGATCGAGCAGCGCATCTTGAACTCCAACCCTGTCATGGAAGCTTTTGGTAAGCTCGGTGTCCTCTGTCCCCTGTCCTTTGGGATTTGCCACCTTCCAGGGAGAGGAAAGTGAAACCCTCTCTGTGGGGGTTGGAGGATGAGTGTATCATTCACTGCCTTGGGTTCCCAATCCCTCCAGGTACCCTGAGCCTCTTTCCAGCAGAGATGCTGTCATTCAGCCATCTCCTCCCTCGAGCAGATGTAACAGTGGTGCTGGAGAGGATCTTGTGGCTCCTCTGGTCTAAATCCTGATGGTTCAGAGGAGAGGGGAACTGGTCTAAGGATGTACAACAGTTAGTGTCCATGTTGGGACTCTAGATGTTGTGCCTACTGTCTAACTCAATAGTGACAGCTTGTTTTTTATTCTTTCCCTTCAAAGAAGACAGTCCCTGGCTGCCTAGGCTTGCTCATTTCAGTTCATTGCCAGGAAGTCCTTCTAACTCCCAAGTCACACTTGCTTAGTCCTGTCCCCTGTGACATGGAAACCAAAAAGGGGCCTTTAGATGACTTGATAGAGACATGGCCCCAGCAGACTGCAGCCACATTGGCCCATGAGGACTCTGTGAACATAGGGGAGCGGTATAAACAGAGGTGTGATCTGTAGGGAATGCGTGCACGCTGAGGAATAACAACAGCAGTCGCTTTGGGAAGTTCATCCAGCTCCAAATGAACAGGTAATTGCTGCTGCCACCACTGCCCTGGCTGATGGGAGGACGGGGGCAGGGAGTCTGCAAGTGGCTGGAGTAGTCTCTAGCCTGGGCCACCCCTGTGGGCAGAACCCTGCTCCTCCTGGCATGCATGTGTATGGGACTTATTAGGATCAGTGAACCCTGAGGGTGATCTTTGAATCTAGAGAACTATAGCTGCTGCAGCCGTGGGGAACCTGGGCAGCATGCTTGTCACAGCCTGTGTTTTCCTCCTGGCTTTTACCCTTGCTTGAGGACTTAGAGTTAAACAGCCACTTCTGTGGCCACAACCCTGAGCTTGAAGCTGGCGGGGCTTCTGCTCCTGCCTTGGGATGGGGCATAATGACTTACAGAGGCCTTGGCTCTGCCCACCTGAGCTGGGTGCAGGGGAATGTCCCGTACCATTCAAGGGCCTGCTGAGTAGTCCCTCGTCCTCATGACCCCCATTGCGAAGTGGAAGAGCCTGGTCGGGAAGTGGGGTTGCAGTCTGGCAAACAGTAAATGCCTATGGAATGAATGGGTAACTAATGGGCTCTGGTCTGCTTGTGCCAGGGCCCATCAGATGACTGGAGCTGCAGTCCAGACCTACCTCCTAGAGAAAACTCGCGTGGCCTGCCAGGCCTCCAATGAGAGGAACTTCCACATCTTCTACCAGGTCTGTGCCAGGGGGGCCCACAGCTGCCCAGATGCAGGGTGGAGATGGCCTGTGACTCTTAGCCCCTCCTTCTGCCCCCTGCCTGCCTCTTTAATCGGCTTCCAGTGGTGCCACCACTTATTCCAGCAAACTATGCAACACTGCCTCACACTGGACCCAGGCTTCTGGGATGGTTTGGATGGGATGTGTGTTACCTCCTCTGTCAGACCAGACGGTGCTGGGGACTCTCCTTAGAATGGCACTGTTTCCTCCAAACAGAACGAGGACTTCCCCAGAGCTGTGCCTCTTTCATCAGACGGGTGGTCCCCCAAAGCATGGATAGTGTGTCCCCGGCTCTCAGGTTGAGCCTGGGGCCGCCCCAGAGAGGAGCTGTGCCTTCCTCAAACACAGGCCTCCTCAGATGGTGTTTGGCACCGGGTTGCAGACATGAAAACTGGTTGCTGCTGCTTTTGCCCTGTGCCTACCCTGGGTGCTCCACAGTCTTGTGATGTCACTGCCATCTCTCTCCTTTTATCTCGACCCCAGGCCTATATAGGCCTGGGCTTCCCTCGCACCCCCAGCTCAGCAACCTGTCCCCCTCCCACAGATCTGCAAAGGAGCCAGTGCAGACGAGAGGCTCCGGTGGCACCTCCCCGAGGGAGCCGCCTTCTCCTGGCTGCCCAACCCAGAGAGGACCTTGGAAGGTAGGGGGAGCCTTACCCAGCACCCACCCCGCTCTGCTCACAGCCTGCCTCTCTCACCCCTCCCTGCCCCTGCTGACCTCTGGTCCTGACACTGGGCTGTGACTTGGGTTTCTTTTCAGAGGATTGTTTTGAGGTGACCAGAGAGGCCATGCTTCATCTTGGCATCGGCACCCTCACCCAGAACAACATCTTTAAGGTCAGAAGGAAAGCCTTGGCACTTACATTTGACAGAGGTCACTGGAAGCCTCCTCTGAACCTGCGTCTTCCTGAGAATCTGAGACTTTGGGCCCCGCCTTGCAGTCTCCAAGAAGTGGACCGCTCCTCTGTGCCACTGAACCTGGACACGGTGTCGGGGTGGGAGGGGCGTGGAGCACATAGTTCTGTATATAAAACAGCACCGAGAGAGTTAGAGCTCAGAGGGCAAGGAGCCTGGGTCAGCTTTTACTGCAGTAGTCAGAGCAGGGAAATCATGCTGCCACGTTTGCCCAGGGCAGCTAATGGGCTCTGGTGTGTAGGAATTTTAAAATCATGTTTACACCCTTTAGCTCACTGGGTTTTTCAACAGGCCTGTGTATAGGGAGTTATTCCTACTTTATGCTTGAGAAGACTAGAGAGGTAAAGTGACCTGCCCAAGGTCAGACACCACTGATACAGATAGACTTGCACCATGCGGACTAAGTCCAATTCCCACCTTCTTGCCCCTCCTCTCCGGACATGCTGACCCAGGTGAGCTGGGCTCCTCATCCCCATTATTGGCCTCCCTCCTCCCATCTGTCTTTGCCGACTGACTACCTCCTGCTCCCTCACCTCCTCACCCACCAGAGCAATGGGAGGGAGTAGATAGGATAGGCTGGCAGCAGAGACGGGAGCCACTGCAGGGAGGTGGCAGTGCAGTGGAAAGTGACCTCCATCTCCAGGTGGGGCTCCTCAGGCAGGGAGGGGATCACGGCCAGTGTGGACACCGCCAGGCAAGCACCTGGCCAGAGGCACAGCAGGAGTGGACAATAGTAGGGTGTCCAGACAGGAGTGCTGGTTGGGGGCTGGCGTGACCCTCTACTCCAGCCACACTGCCCATCGGGCAGAGCAGCCTCCTTTCTACAGCTCCTAGGGGCTCATCCACATGCATCGAGTGCAAAGGCAAGAGGGCCCCCACTGTACAGACACCACGGTCACAGATCCTCCCCTAGGCTGGGCCATCAGAGCCCAACTGTGCTGGGGAAGGGCCAAAGGGAGTCCAAGCCCAGCTCCATAGAAGCAAGCCTGCTCCACGAGGAACAGGAGCCATGTCCTACAGTCTGCTCCAGAGGGGAAGGCAGAGGGACAGACCATGGTGACCTGGAGGCCCCACCAGCTGCCCTGGGAGGCTTCTGTAGTCAGACTGCCCGGGTTCTCATTGAACCTGTCCCCTTCTCATCTCTGTCATGGACAATCGTTGCAGCACTCGCCTCACTGATGTTGAGAAGATTAACCAAGCCCTAGCTGGTTTGGCTCAGTGGATAGAGCGTCGGCCTGTGGACCAAAGGGTCCCAGGTTTGAGTCCAGTCAAGGGCACATGCCTGGGGTTGCGGGCTCGATCCCCAGTAGGGGGCGTGCAGGAGGCAACCAATCAGTGATTCTCATCATTGATGTTTCTATCTCTCCCTCTCCCTTCCTCTCTGAAATCAATAAAAGTATATTTTTTTTAAAAAGAAAAGATTAACCAAGATGATGCATGTAACATACATAGAATCGTGTCTCATAGGGTCCTGCAGCAAATGGGCAGTAGCTGGGAGCTGCTATTATTCTTCTCTTGTGATTATATTTAGCAGAAGAGAAGCCTTCCAGGCTGGGCTCCAGCCCTTACAAGGTGCCCACTGTGTGTCTCCTTTCTCCTGCCCCTCAGGTCCTGGCTGGACTGCTGCACCTCGGCAACGTCCGGTTTGCTGACTGTGAGGATGAAGCCCAGCCCTGCCAGCTGATGGACGATGCCAAGGGTGAGAGCAAGGGTGGCAGGGGGCTGTGCCTCAGGCTTTGGTCACACACCCAGGGAGCAGGCCAGTCCTGCCCAGAAAAGAGCCAGTATCAGTGGGATTGGGTGGGAGGCCAGAGGGTGAAATTCGGAATTTAACATTTGATTAAACAATAGCTGTAGCGTCCTGCCCTGGATAAGTTACTCCTCACCCCATCTCTGAAGCAGGCAGCATTATCCCCATTTTACAGATGAGCAAACGAGGGTCAGAGGGTTTATAATTTGTCCCACACGTGGCAATGTGGACTGGGACACAGAAGTCCTGGGTTCATGCCCTGCCTCTGCCTTCGGCAGGTCTCTTCGCCTCCCAGCAAGGTTTCCTCTGTTCATTTGGGTGGGCGATGGTTCCATGACAATGGCTTCACTGCCTTGTGAAGGGGGCTGTTTGGATGGAAGGTTTGTCCTCCCAGGCTCTGTCAGAACATCGGCCTCGCTGCTCTGGCTCCCAGAGGACCCACTGCTGGAGACACTGAGGATCAGGACCATCAGGGCGGGCAGGCAGCAGCAGGTGTTCCGGAAGCCCTGCTCCCTAGCCGAGTGCGACACCCGCAGAGACTGTCTGGCCAAACTGATCTACGCACGGTGAGCACTCTGGGCCCATGCTGCCTCCAACTTCTCCCCTCTTTGGAGTTGAACCAGACACTGCCATGCAATAGGCCCAGGCCCAGGGTGAGGGCTGCCAGACACAGCAGATGGCTTCCCTCCCTGCTCCCCAGATCCTTGGGGACAGCAGGGAGTAGCTCCTGAGACTTCCCCAAGCACCTGGGGAATTTGATAGCAGAACGTCAGCCCAAAGTGCAGGGCAACCCAGCAAGCAGCAAGTGGGAGCCCAGAACAGGGGCCTTTCCTATTGGGTGATATGGCCATGTGGTTAAGGGTGCTTTCTCACCCTGGGTTCTGAGAACCTTCTGAGAACCTTCATGATGCCATGTAAGGGTGTCATGTGGCATCTTTGAAATTAGGGGACGGAATGCATGTGCTTATGGGAACTCGGGCCCTCCTGGGTGTGGCACCCTGGCTGAGGAGCAGCTCTGCCACCCCTCAGATTCAGCTCGACCCTCTCTCACCAGAGTCTCCCCTTCCCCAACCCCAACAGGCTGTTCGACTGGCTGGTATCGGTGATCAACAGCAGCATCTATGCGGCCCCCGACTCCTGGACCACTTTCATAGGTAGCAGGGCCCCCTGCCGGGAACACCCCTTCTAAAAAAGACCAGGGCAGCTCTGGGCCCACCGTGCTAACTCTGGCAGCTCCTTTCCCTTCCCTGCATCCCCCTCTCCTCGTCTGTCCACCAGTGTTTGGGCAAGGACATCTCTACTCCCGGATGCTCACACCTGACTCGTCCATAGCTCACCAGGCGGACTCAGATGGCACCTGTCTGAGAGAGTAGTGGGGATGAGTGAAAGATAACCTTGCTGGAACCTGGGTAGGAATGTCAGGTAGGGGAGGCAGTAGAGCTCAGAGGCACCAGTGAGTTTGTTCACAGAATGTGGAATTCTAGACACCAACTGGGCTGGTGAGACCCAGGCCCTCCAAACTGGGCTGGATGCAGGAAATGTTCCCTGGGACCTGGTGCCCTCAAGGAGGGGCCTACCCGGACCTAAGGATTCAGCCTCGAAGAAGACCTGGTGCCCTGGGTTGCCCCTCACACACATTCGGCCTTTCTTCCTGCTGCAAGTTGTGGGGGGACATGAGGTAGAGATGGCACCCTGGGGTGGGGTACGGTGCTCTGCCCACTGTGGGTGTCATGCTCGCTCAGCCTCATCCCCAGGCTGCCAAGGATGAAGCTTCACCCTGGGCCCCTACAGTCCCCCGGCCTCTGCAGTGGCCCCATGGGTTCTCCCCTCACCACCGCCCCACCCCCCACAGGCCTGCTGGATGTGTACGGCTTTGAGTCATTCCCTGACAACAGTCTGGAACAGCTGTGCATCAACTATGCCAATGAGAAGCTGCAACAGCACTTTGTGGCTCACTACCTAAGGGCTCAGCAGGTGAGCGTGTGGCAGGGTGGGGCCGTCCTGGATCCTCTATCTCTTCCTGCCCTTTAGTTCTTGATGCCATTCTGGAATAGTTGGTGTTGCTGAGGCCAGCCATAGGATGGCCTCCTGGGCCTCAGCCCTTAGCTGCCTCCTGCCCCCTCACCTTGCCCTCTAGGAGGAATACGCACTGGAGGGCCTGGAGTGGTCATTTGTCAACTACCAGGACAACCAGACCTGTTTGGACCTCATCGAGGGGACCCCCATCAGCATCTGCTCCCTCTTAAACGAGGTGGGAGCATCAGTAGTGTGCTGAGCAGCAGAGGTGGGCTTTGGGCTTTTCTGGGGCCTTGAAGACTCGTCACTGCCCTTTCTGTGCCTCTGTCTCCCCATCTGCCAAATGGGTTTGCTAATCCTGTACTCCTTCACTCAGGGTCACTGTACTGCCTATGTGACAACTCTGCTACCATGGGGGCGATGGGGTGGAGACTGTGAGGGTGTGGGAGCCCTCTCACTTTTGTGGCCGTCTGCCTATCCCGCCCCACGTAGGAATGCCGCCTTAACCGGCCAAGCAGTGCAGCCCAGCTCCAGACACGCATTGAAAGTGCCCTGGCAGGCAGCCCCTGCCTGGGTCACAACAAGCTCAGCCGGGAGCCCAGCTTCATTGTGGTGCATTACGCGGGGCCTGTGCGGTACCACACCGCAGGCCTGGTGGAGAAGAACAAGGTGAGGCTGGGCCATGGCCCCTGGGGACCTGGGTACAACGGCACGCTGAGTCATTGCTGCCCATACACGCAGCTTCCTATTGTGTGTCTCCCTCCTGAGCATCTTCCCAGAACCCAGGGTCACCTCTGGGCCATCTGCCTGAGGTCTGCTCATCAGGCATGACCCGCCCAGAAATGACCCATGTCACACTGGGTTGCTGATTCATAGGCGACCAGCTTGTCTCCCAGACTCAGGGCCTGTCCTACCCTGGAACTCCCTCCTCTGGGGCCTGGGTGAGCACTGGCAGGCCTGTGGACAGCCCTGGGTAGCACACCACCTGCCCTCACCCACTGTTCTCGTCCTCTCCCAATAGGACCCTGTGCCCCCTGAGCTGACCAGGCTCCTGCAGCAATCTGAGGACCCCCTGCTCAAGGTGTTGTTTCCTACTGACCCAGAAGAGAAGTCCCAGGAGGAGCCTTCTGGCAAGAGCAGAACCCCTGTGTTGACCGTGGTGTCCAGGTTCAAGGTGGGTCTGGTAGTGCTGACGTGACGTGTTTGGGTCACTCCTCAGTCTCAAATGTTTACCAAGCACTTCCCAGGATTGGTGCTGTTTACGGAGAGCATTGATGAGTCAAGAAGACATGGTCCGGGTTCACACCGAGTTGACAGTCCTATGTGGGAGACAGAGACAGGAAACAGACACATAGACTTGGCCTAACTGACATGGGAAGCCTAGGGGCCTGTGGGTGGCGCAGGGGTCTCTAACACACTGCTTATAGGGGGCTGTGGAAGAGCAATAGTTACATGCACCCGTGACCTGGCCCATTCCGTTCTCCAGCTTCCTGCTCAGACTTTGTCCTTGGCCAGCGCAGGTTTGTCTCCTCCCATATCTTATACTTTCTACTGTCTCTCAGCACACTCTGCTTCTCACCCCAGCCACCTTAGCTCCACCCTCCATGTCTCTTTTTAGTTTATTCCTTCTCATCCTTCAAAGCTCTGCAATATCATCACCTCCTTGAGAAGGTACCCAGGGAGCCCAGGTTTGAATAGCACTTTCCTGTCCAGCCTCAGATACTACTGAGGGTGCCCGTCCAGTGTCTGTGCAGCTCGTTAGACACGGCTCTGACAGCAGCAGACTGCCCGGGTCACAGCCCTTCAGTTTCCTGCACACAGGACAGGCTTTGGTTTAATAACAGCTATTTCCTGAATGAATGGCTGGGGGTTCTGAGATTGCTCTTCTAGGAAGATTGTGGGGGTTGGGGACCCTGAGACCAGATGCAGAGACCAACCAGTTGGAGGGTCACAGGTCAAGAAAGGTCCCTGGAGGTAGATGTGAGGAGCAGTAGGACGTCAAGGGATGGGAGTGCTTGGACACAGTAAGAGCCTCCAATAGCCATCCCAGGGCACATGAAGATCCTGGTGTTGGGGCTGGAGGTGTTTGATGCAGTCTCTAACCAGGGCCCAGCTGATGCCCCCAGGCAGCTCCAACCTCTGCCTGACCTCGCTCTCCCCTCTGCAGGCCTCCCTGGAACAGCTTCTGCAGGTTCTGCACAGCACCACGCCCCACTACATTCGCTGCATCAAGCCCAACAGCAAGGGCCAGGCACAGACCTTCCTCCGGGAGGAGGTAATTCACACTGAGCCAAAGCTGCTTCGAGGAGAGCCCTATCTGGCCAAGGCCCTGGAGGGGTGAAGGGCAGGACATCTACTCCAAGTGCAGGGACCAGAGGGGATCTCTCAGGCTGGGCCTGACATTAGAGGGGCTTGTCTCCCCATAGCTGGCACGACAGTCGTGTATGGTTGTGTGGTCTGCACTGCAGTGACCTAGCTAAGGAAGGAAGTAGGGCTCTGGCGCCTCTTGCTCTCTTCTCACCAAGCACTACCCTGATGAGACTGGAGCTGCCCAGAATGGCTATCTCTTGCAATTAGCTGGAAGTCTGTCTCGCCTTACATTCTAGATTTTTAATCTGCACAAAAAGGGCCAGCAATTGTTCTTTGCTCAGGGTACCGGGCTCCACGGGATGTGGATGAGGTGTTAGTACTGGGCGATGCTGGAGTGTCCTACAGTCAACTGGTAGATGTGACCTTGGGGGTTATAGCCAGAACCACTCTTCTGTGGTTAAGACCATGGTTCAGGTCCCAGAGGCTCTTCACAGTATAACCAACCTCCCATGCCCTGCAGCTGTGACTCACTTGATTGCCTAGCCAAAAATAAAATAAATAAAAACAGAAATGGGGCTGGGCTGCATATGAGGCAGAGCATCTGCACCAGCAGCTGCCTCAGCTGTGTCAGAAGCCATGTACCACATAGGGGATCTGGGGCTGCTGGGACTCTTTTAGCAGGGAGGTATTTCTTAATTTTTTGCTGCCCCAGCCCCAGAGTGTGTACCTCCCTCAGTGGAACCTCAGGAGACCCTGCAGTCCACGCTGGCAGGGCCATGGGAATGCCGTCTGCCCTGCTGGCCCCATGCTGCAGGTGCCACGCTGTCTCTCCACCCTTGCAGGTCCTGAGCCAGCTGGAGGCCTGTGGTCTGGTGGAGACCATCCACATCAGTGCCGCCGGCTTCCCCATCCGGTGAGTGGGCCCATCACTGCAGGGGCAGGGCCAGCGTCACGGTAGAGCTCGGACTCAGGCCCAACAAGAGCCTGCCCAGCCAAGAGACGGATATGGAGATGAAGAGAAAGGGCAGGTCTACAGGTGTCAACCTGAACTCAAGGAACTGTGCTTGTCATTTATCCATTTACTTTCTGTGCACGATTTTGTGCTAAGCACTGTTTCTAGTATATCTCAGTGAATAAGGAAGGCTGAGTCTGCCCTCTTGGGTCATACATTCCTGTGGAAACAATAACTATAAAGTTAATCAATGCTAGGGAAGAAACAGAAAATGCTATTAGGTAGACTAATGGGAAGGGGTATCCTTGGGCTGGTCCAGGAGGGGTCGTAGGCAGCTCGGGCCTCTGGGAAGATCTGGGGAGGAGAGCATTCCAGACTAGGGAGCAGGTTAGGAACTGAGAGGTGCTTAAGTGACTGGAGCTCAGAGAACTGGGAGAGGAGGGAGGGATGGGGGCCAGACCTGAAGGACTTCACAGCCTGTCCTGGGTGCTGTGGAAGCTGCCGGGCATTCTGAGGAGGGAGTGCTGTGCTCTCACTCATATCCCATGGCTGCCATGTGGAGGTTGGACATAGGGTCAGGAAAATAGAGGAGTGAAAGGCTGTTGCAGGTGTACAGGCGAGATGGTGTCCCCGGTGAGGGTGGCAGCAGTGAACACTGGAGAGAAGTGGGTAAAATTGGTGTGGCTTGTGATAGAAAGAGGACTGTGGATTGATTGAACGTGAGTTATTAGGCAGGATGGTCAACTTCCAGGCTTCCCTCTGAGGCAAATGGGTGGATGGGGGATAATTCCTGGAGGCGAGATGGTTTGAGGAAGGCACAGGTTGCAGGGTGGGAGGGTCAGGTTTGAAATGGCTGTGAGACAGGCCAGGGCTCAGCAGAGCTCTAAGAACTGGAGGGTCTTAACACCACAAACAAGGAGGAAACCCCATCGGGGATAGAAGGGATCGGGGTCATGCCCTGAGGAATGCTCACATTTCGAGAGGGGGGATGACAAGAAACCAGCAACCATTTTAGTGGCATACTGGTGGCTGTGACAGGAGCCACATTGGTGCAGTGTTGTGGGCAGAAGCCAAACTTAGAGGAAGACGTGCAGATATCAGATGTCACCAGCTGTTGAGAGAAGTGTTGCCGTGAAGGGGAGTAGAGAAACCAGGGTAAGTGGAGGAGGCTGTGGGTCAGAGGACGGGTGGAGACGCAGCCAAGCACGGGTGTGAGGTAGGAGTGGTCTAGTTGTCCAGAGGGGGTCCTCCATGCCCCTTGGACGGAGGCAGACAGCAAGTCCTCTAGGAAGGGGCCCAGGAAGAGCAGACCCTTAAAGTAATCTCTTCCGAGCTACAGCCTCGTCCATGCAGTGCAGCCAGGGCAGCACCTCGCTGGGTTGTTGAGCCGATTAAATACAATTACTCCCGTCGCACCCTGAGCGCTGTGCCCACGGATGAAGTCGCTTCACTCCCTTCTTCCACCCACTTTGGCTTCCAGGGTCTCTCACCGGAACTTTGTGGAACGGTACGCGTTACTGAGGCGGCTCCGTCCTCCCACAGCCCCGGGCCCCCAGAGCCCGCCTCTTAATGAAGGGCGCTCAGGTGAGTGGGGCCCCTTTGTTAGTCATTTGTTCATCAGTCTACTGTTACTGGCTCATAGGGGCAGAGAGTGGTGGGAGGTGAGGCTGGGGTGACAGCTGGGGCCGAGTCACAGAAGCTGGACTTTATTCTCTGGGTGGATGGGGGCACTCATGTTTCCTGGAGACTACTGTGGGGCCACATGGTAGGGCTGTTAAGTTGGCGGGAGTAGAGAGAAGCTAGAGATGTGGACACAGGAAATATTGGGAAGAAACTAGTCACACTGGGCAAGCATTTGATGAGATGTAGAGGGAAAGGAAAGGAAGAAATTAGTTAAAATAATTATTAAAATGAGCTCTGCCTGGCCAGTGGGGAAAGGCGGTCTGAGGGAGCTGTTGAGCCTGCTGGGGTCCTTCCCCCCAAACTTTGATCTCAAGGGAAAGTCCTGGCCTGTGACCCAGATATGAGGATTGTGGGCACGTGGCTATCCTGAGGCTGTGGCCCCAGCACAGGAGGAGGAAAAGAGGTGCAAGGCTCCGCCCAGTAGGATCCCAGCCCAGCGGTAACCACTCCCCCCACTTACACAGCCTTACCTTGGGCCAGGAAACCCAGTTGGGACAATTCTGCTTTGTTTTTCTGTCTTGGGCACAGTTTGTCACTTTCCTTTCACCTTTCTCCCCACCGCTCTTCCTCCTCTCGCCATGGTCTGCTCTGCTCTGTCTCTTGCCCACGTCTCCTGGGCTCTGGTTGATTTTGCTGCTGCTTCTCGTCTGCGGTATCTTCTATGGCAGCCTCTGTCTCCAGAGAGGCGCTGGGCAGCTAAAGGTGTTCAGAGCCTCAGGTAAACCTCCCTCCACAGCAGTCAGCCCTGTGATGCAGGTCGGCAGGGGGACCCCATGGCCTCCGCAGGCCCAGAATCTGTCTTCTCTTTGCCCTTCCGTGCCAGGAAGTGAGCTGTTAGGGCGGAGGGGGTGGCCCTAATGTCCTGTTTGGCCCTCAGCATGTTTGGGGCAACAAGTGCCCTTTGTCACTTGCCCAAAGGGACCCACAGGAGTGGAGGCTGCAGGCCAGTCCAGGGCACAGCCACAGTGGGATTCCAAGACTCCTCATAACAGCCAGGGGCCTGAGGGGTAAGAGGGGCTGCTCCTGGTCTCTCCCCCGCAAAAAATAGGTAAAAATGGCTAGAGACAAGAACAAAAAAGAGGCCTGTAAAATGCTAGGGAGACCAGAACCAGTTTCTTAAGGCCACAGAAGTGTGTAGAAGACGAAGCACTGATGGGACCTCTGTCTCCCACCCTTAGAATGGTCTCCACAGGCCGCGGAGGCCGCGCTGCAGCCTCTGCTCCAGGACATCCTCCGCACTCTGCCCGCTCTGCCTGGGGCAGCAGCCACATCTGGCGACCCGGTGGAGGCCACGCCAGCCACAGTGCACTGTGGCAGGACCAAGGTGTTCATGACGGACTCCACGGTAAGCTGGCTTCAGAGGAGCAGAGGTCA